TATATATATATATATATATAACTCTAACCTCCACGATTCAATATGTACATGAAATTGCAGTTATTTGGTTTTGCATTCAAATTTAAAAATTATATTTTGCATTCTCTTCTATTGCTTTTACCTAATCTCTGGCTCTGTGAATGTTAAAATGCATGTCCATTTGCAGAAACTCAGCTCCCCATGAGTAAATGTCCCATCGGTGAGCACTAAAGTAGGAGATGGTTTCACGTGAAAAGTCCCTCATCTGAACAACTGAACGAAAGTTACAACATGCAGATTAAGTTCTACTTCTCAAAAACTCAGTTATGACCAACAGTTATGTCCACCTGTCTGACTTGACAGTCATTTGATCGGTTATGCCTTGGAAGATAAACATTCGGGAAATTGTATAGTCTATAACTTTCTCATTATGCTGTCTTAAAGTAAACACATCTTATTCCTGCTGTCTGTGTTTTTAATATTTATCAAACAACAAAAGATAATGAAATCATTCTGCTCTTGACTGAATCAGCTATCAGTAAGGGTTAACCTTTATGTAAATTATCCAGTGAAGATTATATACAGCAGTGTTTCCTCTAGGATTTTTTTCCAGCTGTGGCGGCAGACTCTGTTGAGCATTTTACACAGATCTACCAACTACATGTGGTGATATTTCATTGACAAATGTCGTGAGCGCAGTATTACAAGTGGAGATCGCATTCATGTAATACGAGCATGTCAATCTCTGAACTTGAGCGACGATTTCCTCTGTTCGTGCACAAAACTTCTTGCTCGTCCTCAAATATACGCTGCTCAATGCAAATTTTCGTCCTCAAATGCTCGTCCTTAAAAAACGCTAATGAAGTGCGATTAAGTGCATTTATGTAACGACTATATGTCTCCAACATTTATTAGATTTGCTATGAATATTTATGAATATCTCCAATAGACCTACAGAGCGACATTATTGCGCCCTGAAGTTAAGTGAAACGGCTATAAACTCCTGCAAGATGAAGTCATTGTATGCAAAACCATAGACCTTTATCTATAAATATAATATAATTATGGAAACTGTGTTCATCTTAATTGAAAGCTACGCCATGTTTGCTGGCCTCACGCATAACCCACCTGTCTGTCAGTCAGTCAGTACGTCACCTTAAAGGGTTAAACAAATAACGCACAGCACTACTGCGATTACAGAAAGGTTGCGATGTTAAAATTCACATACATTTGAATATGTTTTGGTGCAATTATAGCCTGCTATTTAAAAAGAGGACTGAATGTTTTGAATGAGAAGCTGTAATGTAGCCGTGGTGGGATGAATTTTGGTGTGGCATATTTTGGTATGTATGTGTGTATGTATGTATGTATGTATGTATGTATATATATATATATATATATACACACACACACACACACACACACACACACACACACACACATATACATACATTTTTTCTACATATCATACAGTAACAAACCGTAACTGAAGTCTGACCTGAATCGTATATATGTACACTATTGAGTGTAAATGGGTTGTACATTCATTATTGCAGTGCATTGTGGGATTGATTGAGTTCACTTTCGAATGCCCACTATGGCTTTAGACACTACTATAAGTGGTTGCTCCCTCAAATAGTGCAACTAATAGTAAATGGAGTTGATTTCAGATACAGCCTAAATACAAATTTAACAGGACTGTGGCTATTCAAAACCAAACTTGCCAACCTCTTTTGTTGTATATTGTAGTTCTAATTTACATCCGCTGCTAACAAACTTCAAATTCCAGCCCAAAGGTTCCTCCTAGAGCAAGCATTTTTTTAATTAGACTCTGAATAAATTTTAATATGCTGGATAGATGTTTAATTGGCTCAGGTGCGTTCAGAGTAATTATGTGATCCAGATTGTGTTTTGTTTAGGAGTGAGTCTGTCCTCTAAAAATAATGAACACTCTTTGATGACAGAGTCATATGACAGGGTAGCAATCACATATGATAATTCTGAAACAGATGCTTTGATGGTACTGTATGTACCTACAGCTAGGCAGTGGAAGTGCCTTTATAAAACAAATCAGAAGGCTACAAGGTTGTTTGTTTTTCTGCAGGTGGAGATGCTTTAGATGAGTGTGGTCTACGTTACCTGCTGGCCATGAGGTTGCATACCTGTCTGCTGAACTCCCTGCCCCCTCTTTACAGGATGCAGCTACTTCATCAGGGTAACACACACCATCACCTACATAACACATGAACACACCGCACACTCCCATCTGCATGTGAAAGCTTTTAAAACTACGGAACTGAATACCTTCAAATTTAAGCATTTTAAACTAGTTCTGACTTACTTTTCCCAGTTCACCATTAGAGTATGTCTTGCCAGACTTTTTATCTAGTTTGGATCTTAAAATCATTGAAACAAGAAGATTAGCTATAAATGAAATTTATAATTTATATTTCTGCAAGCGATATACTAAATCATGCTAATTTGTTCCAAAAAAACATTTGAACAATATGCTAAATCATCCTAACACCATGCTAGGTACATTCTGCCAATATATTTTTAAACAAGCTTGTTAGTATGTTGATTCATGCTAAAATCCTAACATTGTGTTAAACATGTTAGCAAAACATAACAAGCTACAACATTGTACCAATGGGCTAAAACCTGTTAGCAATTTGCTAATGCTAATTCCGACTTCTCTATTTCAGTTCACCATCAGTTTGTCTTGACAGACTTTTTGTTTAATCTAGTTTGGAACTTACATTAACTCCATGCTTAATGAAACTTTAACACACACGTTGTGTATGAAAGTATGTTTTAAGTTTACCTTCATAATATAGGATTACAAGTTAAAATGTTTTTTGGGTCTCCAGGTGTGTCCACGTGCCATTTTGCGTGGGCGTTCCACTCAGAAGCCGAGGAGGAGATGTTGAACATGATTCCTGCCATGCAGAGAGGAGACCCTCAGTGGTCTGAGCTCAGGGCAGTGGGTGTCGGATGGTGGATCAGAAACATTAATACACTGAGGCGAATGGTAGAGAAGGTAAGACCTTCAGAGGTACTGGCTGATAGCAGTGTACTCTGAGTTTTTAATACAGATGCTTCAAAATCTTTTTTCTTCTTTTTTTTTCTTTGTTGCTTCACTCTTACACTTTATTAAATTAATTTTCAATATACACTAAGCAGACACTTGATTAAATTTACCTTATTAGTACCGGGTTGGGCCCTCTTTTGCCTTCAGAACTGCCTTAATCCTTTGTGGCATAGATTGCAAGGTGTTGCTGTAGGTTTGTCGGCTGCACATCTATGATGCGAATCTCCCGTTCCCACCGCATGCCAAAGGTGCTGTTTTGGATTGAGATCTGGTGACTGTGGAGGCCATTTGGGTAGAGCTAATTTTATGATCAAATTTCAAGTTTGGTGGTCAATTTTGCATCATTTGAAAATGTGTGACTAATAGAATATTGATACCTTCAGCCTGACCTCTTGAATTACAGCAAAATAAACCTAAACTCATGCAGCATGACTTTAAAGTGGAGTAGAATGCATTTTATTTTGTTTTGTATTGGGTGTTTCGAATATAGCATTTCAGTGTGTGACTTCATATGACATCTGCTGCAGCTTGCATAGAAATTTTGTGTGCTCAAAATACTGGTGTGCCCGGGGCATAAGTCATATTTCTTTTTTGCTTTTTTTAGTATCTTTGTGGGGGCGCGTTTGATATGGAACAGTAATTAGGTCAACAAACCTGCAGCAACTTCATAGCTGCGCATTTGCTGAATAATTCCACATCATTGAGCGTTCATCACAGATCAGGATTAAACATTATACAGCATTAGACACTTCTCTGTATGATGTAACTGAAAGTCATATTAACACTATTTTGAGGGTATATGTACATAATACTGTGTTTGTCTGATTTTTGAGGAAATCCACACCATCTCAACCTCCATATCAACAACCTTAACACCTCTTCAACACCCACCCTACCTCTAGACCCATTTCTCCTTTTTCTTTTTTTCTTTTCAGACTTTTCTTCCTTTCTCTTTTCTCTCCTTAATTTTTGTCTTTCTAATTATTATAGATTATTTTCTTTTTTACATTTTAAGTTATTTATTTATTTATTTATTCCTTCATTTTATTTCATTTGTTGATTAATATATTTAATATTGATTATTATGAGTTTTTCTTTTCTTTTTTCCCTTTTTAAAACTTTTTTCCTTTTTTTAATGTTTCTTAATCCTTGCTCTATTTTTAATTCTCATGTATTATTTTCTTCCTTGCGTTTTATATTAATTTATGCAAATGTATTTATTTAAATGTATTCATTCATTTATTCATT